CCTAGCATTCCAGAGATAGAAATCCCTCTGGATCTCTGTGAGTTCAAGGCCACATTGGAAATAGCCAAGCATGGTGACTCACGCCTTTAATCCCAGAAAGCCAGCCTTTAATCCCAGAGAGTGGTGGTAGAAAGCAGAAAGGTATATAAGGCGTGAGGACCAGAAACTAGAGGCTTTTGGCTGGTTAAGCATTTGGCTGGATAAGCATTCAGGCTTTTAAGCAGCAGTTCAGCTGAGAGCCATTGGGATGAGGACACAGAAGCTTCCAGTCTGAGGAAACAGGACCAGCTGAGGAATTGGCAAGGTGAGATAGCTGTGGCTTATTCTGTCTCTCTGATCTACCAGTATGGACCCCAATAACTCGCCTCAGGTTTGATTTTATTAATAAGAACTTTTAAGATTCCTGCTACAGTGGGGAAAAAAAAATCCAAAAGACCCTAGAAGCTATTAAATGCAATAAACAGGCACGCACCTGAGCCTGACCTTGTGTTTGGCCTCCTGCGCTACAGTATATGTTCCTCCATAACAAACAAAGGCTGGGACTGGAGCTCAGAAGTAAAGCATCTGATTGGCATGTGCAAGGCCCTAGGCTCCACCCCCAGCTCTGGAGTAATAACCTAAGAGACATGTTTTTATGACATTAAATTTTAGTCGATCACAGACAGCCAACCGATCAGATCACACCGAGATCAGACACATGTGTAACGCAGCCAATCACGTTGTTCCTGTTCTTTACTCCATTCAACCCAGAAGAGCTCACAGCTCGTGCTGTAAGCGTGCCCTTGACAGCTTCCTGTCTGGGTGCCGCCTGCTTCACGAATCATCCCTTACTGAGCTTATTTTATCTTAAGTTTTCCTTTTTACGGTGGTCCAAGATGCAAAAGAAAGACAGATAAAAAAGGGTTGTGGAGGGAGCTCAGATGATAGACTGCTTGCCTAGCAGGCCTAAAACCCTGGCTTCCAACCCCATGCACTGAATAAAGTGAGTGTGGAAGCACTTGCCTGGAATCCCAGCACTTAGCGGGTAGAGATGGGAAGATCAGGAGTTCAAGACTATCCTGATTATCCTTGACTACATAGCAAGCCCAAGAGACCTTGTTTCTCTTCTTTTTTTCTTTTTTCTTTTCTTTCTTTCTTTCTTTCTTTCTTTCTTTCTTTCTTTCTTTCTTTCTTTCTTTCTTTCTTTCTTTCTTTGTGTTTTTTGTTTTGTTTTTGTTTTTGTTTTGTTTTGTTTATGTTTTTTTGAGACAGGGTTTCTCTGTGTAGCTTTGGAGCCTTCCCTGGAACTCACTCTGTAGCCCAGGCTTACCTCAAACTCAAAGATCTGCCTGCCTCTACCTCCCAAGTGCTGGGATTAAAGGCATGCACCACTGCCCAGCTCAAGACCTTGTTTCAAGAAAGAAAGGACCAGTGGTGTGTGTGTGTGTGTGTGTGTGTGTGTGTGTGTGTGTGTGTGTGTGTGTAGAACCCAGAAAGAAGGCTTCTCCCAGGAGGAGAAGCTGCTAGGGCTGGCTACCCAGGTTTCCGCCTGTGGCTTGTGGCTTCTCTGCCACTATTCCTTGCCTGTGGAGGGACAAAGGTTGTGTTAGGTCAAAGTCTCTGCCTGCAGAGAAGGTCTTCCTGGTCCAGAGCTCCCTCTGATCACTGAGCTGTTAACACTTGGGGACAAACAGTGACCTGTCAGGCCTGCATTGCTGTGTGTCGATGCCACCCCCTCTGCCTCGTTCCTTTGAGTACACTTAATCCTGGTGGTTTGCTTATGCTAATGTCACCCCGGAGGACAAACAGAAGGGAGGTCACATGAAGTTCAGATGCCACGCCCTCGGCATGCTCTCCAGCTGGACTCTTTCCCTAGATTTCTGACAAAAGAAAGAAATTCTGGTCTGGGTGATGATGTGAACTGGGGACCTACCAGGGCCCCATGTCATGTTTGCCACCTGTTTAGGCACAGGGCCTAGAACGGAGATTCTCAACCTATGGGTCGAGACCCCACTACCAGCCCTCTATCTCCAAAAATATTTACAGTATGGTTTATAGCAGGAGCAAAATTAGAGTTATGAAGTAGTGAAGAAATAATTTTATGGTTGGGGGCTCACCACCACATGAGGAACTGTATTAAAGGGCCGCAGCATTAGGAAGGTTGAGAACCACTGCCCTAGAAGAACTTAATGTTTCATGAAGAAGATAAGCAATAGCAGGTAGAGGGAAAGAAATACTCACTTTGAAGTCCCTAAGGACAGGATGGAGAGTACAGAGAGAAACTACAAGAAATGTAAGACATAGTGAAGAGATCTAACATCAGACACCAACCCTAGAGGTCTTTTCACAAGGGAGTATCAAGATATTGTGGATACATACTGAAATTAAGGTAGCGTGACATTGTAGAATAATAAATAAACCAGCGCAACAAAATAGAGATTCCAGAAACCAACCCAAGGAAAGATGAGCTTTTCCATGGAACCGTGAGAAAAGGTGGACTTTCTATAGTGCAGTGGGGAAGAGGACTTTCTATAGTGCAGTGAGGAAGAGGACTTTCTATAGTGCAGTGAGGAAGAGGATTTTCTATAGTGCAGTGAGGAAGAGGACTTTCTGTAGTGCAGTGGGGAAGAGGACTTTCTATAGTGCAGTGGGGAAGAGGACTTTCTGTAGTGCAGTGAGGAAG